ATATAGTTGTGAAAGTGTTGTTTTTAAATTTCAGGTAAGGATTCCAAACAAAAATTGATTATAATTCATCGTAATAACACTGTAATAACGATAACAATCTACTGTATTCTTTAAACATTTTTTTTATTAAAATAAAAATAATTCATGTAATGGTTTTTATCGTGTGGTGTAGTTAACTACGCCATTAACCTGCCACATCACTTATATTTATTACAGTAATATACAATCATTAATTCCTGCTTATCGTTCTAATTGTTAATTATATATGAATAATACTGTATCTATTGAAATATTCACTTTTTCTAAAGAAAAAATTAATAAATGCTTTGAACGAGTAAGAATAAATTCAAAATGACGAAAGAACAATATAGTTTTTTATCTTGTGAGCACAAATAATGTAATAAATTATTTAAACAAAGAATAATCAATACACAATTATTATTTTACGAATCATAATCGAAAAAATTGATATTTGAGATACTTATAACATTCCTACTGCATCTTTGAGTGAACAAGTATATATGATCAAAATTATTCAAAGTTCATATAGAGATATCCTCTTTTCTATTCAAAATTTAAAAAAAGCTATAACTAGCGGATATCCGGATCGCATCTCTAAGTTCATATCCAAATTGTAGTTTAAGTAAATTTTCACCGTAATTTTACTAATATTCAACGAAGAGAAAGAAGCATAGGCTTCTAATTTTAAACAGAGAAATTTAAACTCGGTCAACTTTTTTTTGGAGCTATACTAGGATCGATTTATGGTTAAAGGCTCAGGGCAAGTAGGCGCAAAAATTTGTCGGTCCCGTGATCTCCGAGGCGATCGGGGCTTCAAATCGTAGCCAGGACATTTTGGACAAAAAAATAAAATGAATTTACTCAAATTTTATTAAGATAACTTATTCAAATCTTTTAATCAAAAATGTTTAAAATTAAATGAAGAATATAATCATATAATTTTTATTTCTCTTACTAAAATATTTAAGGCTATGAACAGCTTGGACACTTTGGACGTTTGGACGTTTGAGCGTTTGGACGTTAGACATGTCCAAAAAAGCTTTGGACATGTCAAAACGTACAACACTGACTATAGCTACTTGTAACCGCAATAAAGCCAATTAAAATTCAAGATCAGGTGTAATATAGATCAATCTTTTACATTTAAAAAAAAAAATTCATTCGTATAAACATCAAAATGACTTAACGTTAATAAAAGATTATTAAAATTATATATAAAAACTTGCAATTTGTTCTCCTGGACAACTTTTACTTAAGACGCAATTATCGATTAACTTGGTAAGATTTTGACTTTTATAATGTAGCTACGATCATCGATAGTGAAATATTACTTCATATGTAAATAACCTAGTCATTATTTGACCAAGTTATTTACCATCCCTGACTAGTTGTACTTTAGCACTTAGATAAACAAAATAAGTTATAATAAAGCAATAGTTTTCAATTAAATATACAAAAACCAAATGTTTTAATTTTTAAAATTTTTTTATATAACTACAAATATTAAAATAAATTTTAATATTTTAATTGGCAAGATTTTTTAAATATTGTAAACATTTAAATAATTTTTGTTATTTTTTATCAGGAAATTACAACACTTGTCATTGTATTCCTGATATAGTACAATGTTTTGGTTTAAAAAGTTTTTTTTTAACGATTTAAAACATATCAGATACTTGAAAAAAAACGAGAAATTTTACAATGGTTTGATTACACGTATTTGAATGTATAATCATTGTTATAATCATTGTTATAATTATTATTATAATTATTATTATTATAATTATTATTATAATTATTATTATAATTATTATAATCATCGTCATATTGTTTCCATTTGTTGTTTTGACCATTTCTCGTTATTATAGTAGGCATTGGCGTCGATTGTGATGAATATTGTGGAGGTATTCGGTTGTTATCAGTATAATTTTTAGCGGATAATGAACGATCCAGATTCGCATATCGTGGTCTACGAGGAGGTATCGGTATATCCGTGTAAGCATTATTCGGATATACTCTTTGTGAATAATTATTATCATTATTTGTTGCTTGACGTGTTATAGTAGGATTTCTATCTAAAGATACATTATTAACAGTAGGTTGGTAACGTGATATGTCACTACCTGGTATACGATTTGAGGGAATCCGAGTAGGATTATTTTGTTGGCGACGTACATCTGTGTATGGTGCAGGCATAGGAGATACCTCACTAGTAGGATAGATGTATCCTTGATTGTATCGTTGCGGAACCAAGTTACTTATTTTGTTAGAATCACGACCAATATCAGCATAACCATCTTTGCTACTAGTATTACTATTATCACTATTATTACTGTTATTTCGATGTAATGATGTGGATGGTGATAAACGGTCACTTGACGGAGATGCGATCTTATCATTGCTTTTTTTCAA